GGCCCTGGGCGTCGGGGTGTGCCCCGCCCTCGCAGAGCTCCTGCCCGGCTGCCTGGGCGCCTCGCGCTGACCTCGACGGGCTGGCGTCGCGGGGACGGCGGCGGGGAAGGCTCCGCGTTTCCTGCGGTGTGCGAGGGGGTGTTGCTGCTTCGCGGGGTGGCGCCCCGCGCGCGGAGCACGAGTGCTTTAGAGTCGCAGCTGCTGCAAACTGATGTAGTGGATTCGTCTATCAGTTGGGAGTAAATAGATTAATTCCTGTAAAGGAATTCCGTTCCATGATTGTTCGCTCACTTCCCCTCCTGGAGCTGTCCCTCTGTGCGGAGACAGATCATTTGACTGTTAGTATAATAGTGTAACATTCATTTGCGTTTCCTTCAGGGCGTACTGTAGATTCGTGTTTTCCAAACTTGGTGGGCAGCGACCAAGAGGAAGCGTTTTGCATCGTGATCTGACTGCGTGCTTACATAAACGTAAAAGTGAAGCATACGTTTCAAGAAGCAATGATTTCCTTTACTATCAGTAACATAGTCTGTTTTCTGCTTGTTTTTCTTTTGGGGAGTGGGTTTTTTTGTTTGTTTCGTTTTGTTTTGTTGAGACAGGATCTCATTATATAGTTCAGGCTGGCTTCCAACTCTCGTGGCAAGCCTCCTGCCTCAGCCTCCCTAGTGCTGGGATCACAGGCGTGCGCCACCATGCCCTGCTTGTTTCAATTTTTTAGCAACCCATTTTTAGCATCATCTCTAGTTTACCTCCCCCCTTGTTTTTCTGTACTGGGGATTGACTCACACAGCTACATCCTGAGCCCTTTTTATTTTTCAGACAAGGTCTTGCGAAGTTGTTAAGTTGCCCAGGCTGGGTTGGAATTTGTTATCTTCCTGCCTCAGCCTCTCAGAGCCCACCCCCCATGTGAGGTCCTTAAATGGCAAGAGGAATCTCCCCCTGCGCCAGGGACAGACTTCTCACTGCCATCTCTGTCCTTGAACTGTGTGATCTGCTAGTTGGATCTCCCCTTGTTCTGCTCAACTCACTCGTTGGATGACCTGCTGTCCACTTGTTAATCCTGGATCTAGAGTAGTTTGTATCGTTGGTGCGCCCTGGTGAGGAGAAGTCCTATTTACTGAGTAACTTCGCTTAAAAGAATGAGGCTTGTGCTCCTGTTTTTTGTTGTGGTCTGCTTTCGTGATTCATGAGGCCTCTTCCCCTTCCTCATGACCTTTTGAAATATTTTTATTTTTGTTAGTACATGTTTGCAGTGCATAACAATTACATTCATTGTGGGGAGCTGGTACATGTACCTAACACATCTTGGTTCTTTTTGCACCCTCCCCAACCCCTTAAAGGCTTTGCCTATTACTACCTTATGTCCATGTTTTTTGGTTTTTTTTTTTTTGGTACTGGGAATTGAACTCGGGACCTTGTGCTTGCTAGGCAGGCTCTTGTGCTGCTGAGCTATGTCCCCAGCCTCTGCCACCTTATGCCCAATAGAACATACACTGTGTGGGGTTAAATGCAAACCTATCTGGATCCACTCTTTACTGCTCAACGAGAAATGCTCTTCCCATCCTTTACCAGGCCATTCTGAGTAACTTTACGGACCTTGCTTCTGCTCCTGTCTTCAACCTCACTTCGAGAGAAAGAGAACTGCACAGCACCACTGGGTCCAGTTTACCCACTCCCACCTTTGCATTATTGTTTCCAAACTCCTTTGCCACCTTCTGAGTTTATTTAATCCTCTTGTCATTTTGTGAGCCCTCTCCCCTTCACCCTACTCTGCCTATGTGAGAATGTTCGGGCCAAATCCTAGATTGAATAAGAGCTTACCTGTATAATCTTGTTTTATTGTTCATTGTGTCTCTATGGTACCTGCTGCCTAGCCTCTGTCAGTGTAGTGTAGTGTAGGGTCCTAGCCTCTAATACCACACAGTCCGAGTTGGGATTCTGAGTCTGTTTTGGAATACCTCTGTGGCCTTGGGCAAATTTCTCTGTGCCTGAGTTTTCTCATCAGGAATGTGTAAAGATTAAATAAGTTAATTTTTAAAAAAAGATTAAATAAGTTAATGTGGCCAGGCGTGGTGGTGCAGGCCTGTAATCCCAGCACATGGGAGGCTGAGACAGGAGGATCGTTGTGAGTTTGAGGCCAGCCTGGGCCACAAAGTGAGTTCAAAGCCAGCCTGAACTGCATAGCGAGACTGTGTCTCAAAAAGACAATAAATAAATAAATAAGTTAACGTGTAAAATGTTTAGAATAGTGCCTGGCATGTATTAGGTACTCAGTGAATATTAGGCCTTGTTATGTAACCGGAAACTCACAGGCTCTGTGCCCATCTGTGCCCATCTGTACTTGAATCTGTGTGTTTTCAGGTAGTCAGTTCTAGTAGCGATAATAAAGTAATATGGTAACCACTTTATAGGTTTTCCTGTCTTGCTGTATGCTTCATAGCAACTTTTTGATGAAGAGATTGTTACTATCTCCCTTGCAAATGAAAAAAATTGGGAGTTCAGCATGGTGGCTTGCCCGTAATACCAGCACTCTGGGAGGCTGAGATAGGAGGATCACAAGTTCACATGTGAGCAACTTAAAACAAAACAAAAAAATAAGTAAATACGGGCTGGGGATATAGCTCAGTGGGTAGACCTTGGGTTCAACTCCCAATAATGAAGAAAGGAAGGAAGGGAGAAAGAAAAGAAAGGTAGGAAGGAAGAAGAAAGAAAGGAACAGATGGAGGGGGCTAAGTGACTTACATAAAGGCACAGTAGGTGATGGAAGGGACTTGAACTCGTGTTTCTGTGTACTAGTACCCTGACTACATGTAAACTAACGTATTGATTCATAGCACATTCTATTTGCTGCCCATTGTTCTGAGTTTATTATTAGTTTTCTGTTTTGTTTTGGGGGTTTTTTGTTGTTTTTTGTTTTATCAGACAAGATCTTGCTGTGTAGTCCAGGCTGGCCTCAAACTGACAGGGATTCTACTGCCTCAGCCTCCCAAGTGCTGAGATTATAGCTGTGTTCCATCACATCTGGCCCAAAAGTTGTAATTTTAAGCCAGAGTCTGAAAAGTGTGATAAACTTAGCAGTTCTAGGTATCAGTGGGCTCTGGAGTCAGTAAAACCTAGGTTTTTGTCCTAGCTCTGCTGTTTTCTATCTCATTACTAGTTTTACGTGTTTAGGCAGATGATGTTCTTGACCTTCGGGGACTTAGTTGACTGTAATGAAATCACCTTGAGAAAAATGAGTGAGTTGAAGGGAAACATGGTCAGTTTTTGAGCCCTTCAGATTCTAGAGCGCACTGTGGAGGTTTGGTCTGGAAAGCCTAACTGTATTCCCAGGGGAAGAGGTGGAAACTCCTGTACTCAGTATGCTACACTGTGAGATCTCAAATTTCACAGTAACCCTTTAAAATGTTATCCTTTACTGTAAATGCAGCAGCTAAGGCTGAGTGTGAATAAGCTTATATCGTAAGTTGGAAGGACAGATTTTAAACCCATTTTAGCTAACTTCAAAGCCTGTTTATTAGATATTGCATAATACCACTTCGGAGTTTTAAAAGACTATGTGGAATGTGATGACTGATACCCCTGAACTGTTAGCTGACATTAAAGTTTTTGATACAGTAAATGCCTTTGTACCTAGTGTCTGATGGTCCGGATGACCATTTTTACTCAACAGTTGTGAGCGGCTCCTGGTGTGACTGCTGGACGTGGGACGAACAGCTCTCCGAAGCAGCCGAAGCCATCGGCTTCACCGGACACACAGGTCGCACCAAGAGCCTGTGTGTGCATATGTTTGTGTATTATATTGGTGATTGGTGTTTTATTTCTCTGAGTTGTCCAGGTTGGCCTCAAACTTGAGATCCTCCCGCCTCAGCTTATCAAATAGCTGGAATTACAAGTGTGTGCCACCAAACCAGGCAAGAGCCTGTTTTATACAGTGTGCTTAGAAATAATTTTTAGATATGGCTCAAGAGTCTTGTGAACTTCATGCATGACACATTAATTTCCTTACTGGTATGTCTACTTCGTATGTCCTAGGTACTTTCAAACTCAATACGGATGCTGCTGAATTCATTCCTCAGGACAGAAAAACTTCTGGTCTAAATTGTGGAGCTCAAAGAAGACTAGACTCTAGTAGGATCGGCAGAAGAAATTACAGTACATCACCTCCTTGTCACCTTTCCAGGCAGGGCCTTTATGATGACATCTCTGCAGTTCATCAGTACAGTTACCCTTCTGGAAGCAAGCCTAAGAGTCAGCAGGCTTTCTTCCAGCCTTCTGCTTCTAACAGGTCACTCAAGAACCATGGCCTTCAGTGTCAACCTTGGCAAAAACTGAGGAACGAAAAGCACCATATCAGAGTCAAGAAAGCACAGGGGCTCACTGACCACACCTCAGATATAGCTAGCTTAGAAAATGTGGCAAGATCAGAGAGCGGGACAAATCCCAGAGACCACAGCCCTTCTGAGGGCGAGAAAGAAGTTATTGGCGCTGACCCCAGGGGAGCAAAACCCAAAAAAGCAGCACAGTTTGTATACAGCTATGGTAGAGGAACAAAAGTTAAGGGAAAACTCAAATGTGAATGGGGTAACAAAGTGACTGCAAAACCTGAGGATGCAGGACCTGAAAATATCAAACCTGCGGGGGTTTCCCACCCTGAGCCTTCAGATGCGGCCTGTAGAAAAGGCGGACTGGATGGGTATGGGGCCAGACGAAGTGAGCAGAGAAGATACCCACAGAAAAGGCCTCCTTGGGAAGTGGAGGGGGCCAGGCCGAGACCTGGCAGGAATCCACCCAAACAGGAGGGCCAGCGGCATGCACACGCGGGCCCCAGAAACAGCATGGCTCCCATGCCAAAGGACAGCATCAACGAAGGAGCAACCAGACCTGCCTGTGACAGTGAGAATCTGGCAGTTAGCAACAAGTCTTCCAGAAGGGTTGACCAAGAGAAGAATGTTGTAAGGAGGCAGGACCCTCCAGTGGTGTCTCCTTTCCCCCGAGGCAAACAGAACCATATGCTAAAGAATATGGAAACACATACAGGTAAACTCACCTAGATGGATCGAATTAAATTTTTGAATACTAATTTTAAGTAATGTATTTACACAGCTTGGAAACAGAAAGTATAAAATGGTACATAGAGAAAAGTCTCTATCTTAACTCCCCATCTGCCTGGGTCTGGCTACCTGTTGTTCTTCCTGGTAGGTAAACGCTTACTGTGCTTTTAATATACCATGAGCAAATACAAAGATGTTTTCCCTAAATAAGGCGTGTTGTCAGGGCTTTTAGAATTTCAGATAGAGGGGGTTGAGATGTCTGATTACAGGATGTTTTGAAAGCAGAAGCAGGGAATGCGAATGTCTCCGCTGCTTCAGGGGTTCCAGCTTGTGTCACCGCGGCTGCCTCACCGCGGCTGCCCAGGTGCACGGCTCCCGTCTCACCCCTTTTCGTTTCAGTTTATCTCTTGCACCACTGTCACACAGCAAACTTTGTTTTAGTTTAGTTTAGTTTAGTTTAGTTGCTACTGGTCATTGAACTCACTGCCCTGGCATTGAGCTACATTTCCAGCCCATTTATTTTTTTACTTCTTTATTTAGCAGTAGCGGGGACTGGACCCAGAACCTTTACGCTAAGCTGTATCTCCAACCCATTTTATTTTTTCTTTTGAAACAGGCTCTCCCTGAATCATTAAATTGCCCAAACTGGGCTTAAATCTGCAATCTTCCTGCCTCATCCTCTCTAGCACTGGCATTGAAGGCATGCATTACCATGCCTGGCAGAGAGCAGTCTTTCTAAAACATATTTTTCTAACTTTTTTTTTATTGCTACATTTTAGATACACACAATAATAGCATTCATCATAGGGAGTTTGTACCTGTACGTAATATATCTTGCTGCTGCTTTTTTTCCTGTTCCCCTCCCTCCCTCTGACTCCTCTTCCCCTTTATTTACATCTAAAACATATTTTGAACTGTGGCATTCCCGTTTCCACTTACTGGCTGTCATCACCAGCAGAGTCTGGCTTCTGCCCTAAGTCTCCACCATTTTGTCTCCTGTGTTCTGTATTTTTTTTTTCCGGTACCAGGAATCGAACTCACAACCTCATGCTTGCCAGGCAGGCGCTGTGCTGCCGAGCTAAATCCCCAGCCCCCTGTGTTCCGTATTGTTCTGTCTTTCCATGCTGTCCATGTAGCTCCCCCTCTGTAGAGGCCCTGCCACCCAGTTTACTACTGAGTTCTTCATGTTTCAAAAGCTGGTTGTTTACTGCCACATTTGAAAAACTTTCCTCACCATTGTAGATAGCATTGGTTTTTTTCTATCACTTACATATACATCTACCGCGCTTATGTTTCAGAACTTACTTCGTAGTTAGTGCCTCCACTAATCTGTGTGCCAGTTAAAAGCAGATACTGTATCTTTCATTTGTTTTTGTAATTCTGCCTAACACGTCCCCTAGAATGTAATAGCTGTACAGTTCTGTTAGATAATTCATACTTACATTGAACTGAAGATTATTTGAGGGGGGGTTGTTTCTTTTTATAATACTGGGTATTGAACCCAGGACCTGCTGTAACTGAGCTATATTCCCAACATTTTAAAAAAATTATTATTTTTTGAGTCAGGGTTTCACTGTGTGATTCAGGCTGGCCTTGAATTCACTGCGTAGCCCAGGCTGGCCTCAAACTCATAGTGATCCTCCTGCCTCAGCCTCCTGAGTGCCAGGATTACAGGTGTGTGCCACCGCACCCAGCTAGTAACATTTTCAAAACTGAGATAGGGTCTTCCTATGTTCCAGGCTAGCCTTGAACTTATGGTCCTCTTGCTTCAGCCTCAGAGTGCTGGAATCCTAGGCATGCACCACCATGCCCAGCTTAGGTAACTTTTTTGGTTTTTTTGGTACCGAGAATTGAACTCATGACCTCAGGCTTGCCAGGTTAGGTAAACTTTTTGGATTAGTAGTCTCCAGCCCTGTTGAGTTTTTTTTAATTTTTAATTTTTTTGTCTTTTTGAGACAAGGTCTTCCTGTGCAGTTCAGGCTGGCCTTGAGCTCACTTTGTAGCCCAGGCTGGTCTTGAACTCACAAGGATCCTCCTGCCTCAGCCTCCTGAGTGCTAGGATTACAGGCATGTGCCACCACATCCAGCCCGTTTGCTTTCAACACTTCTTATTTCCCCTTAAGTGATGTTGGTCAGCTTTCCTTCCCATTTTCGTCTGAGACTGTCCAGGCATTCTCCAGTCTTTCTCAAACCTTCCTAACATGCATCTCAGTGGACTTTCCTGCTTCCTACTTCACTGAGAGATAGGAAGCAGTAGGCAGGCTTACCTAACGTGTTCCATCTGTGCAAACTCAAAGACTTTTGTGCTTGCCCTTAAATTCCTTTGAGATTTCCTTTCAGTAACATTTTCACATCTGCTCTTCCAACTTCTCAGCCTGAAGTTCTTGCCAAGTGGACTCTACCCTCAAGGAAAACGTCCCCTGCTGCAAGGCTTCCCAGTAGTTTCCTCTCCTTCCATTCCAGTCTCCTGGAGAGTCATCCATTGTGTTTCTTCCTCCACGTTTTGGTTCATTTCTCGGCCTTCTGCTGTCATCGCCACTAGATTCAGTGAGCTGCTGATGGTGTCATGAACAACTTCGTGTTTGCCACACCCCTCGGACAGATGGATTCCAGTCCTTACTACCCCAGTCTCCCTTTGAGCTTGACGCAGAGCGCGTCTTTCTTGCAGTACGACTTCTCTGACTCCTTGGACACCACACAGTTCTGTTCTCCTTGCCCGTGCCTGCGTGAGTCCTTAAGTTTCTCTTCCTCGTACTTTTTCCTAACTGTTCATGTTTCCTTGGGTTTTGCCCCAGCCCTTGGTTCTTATTTGATAAGATCCCACTGGGACAGTTCAGTCCTTTTCCATGCTTTCAGCTGCTGCCTTCTTGCTTTGCTGACTCCCAGCCCTTTCCCTCCAGACCATTAGTTCTGCCGCAAGCTTCAGATGTGGATGCACACAGGTCTGACGTCCACTTCATGGTCACTAGCACTAAGCTGGACCTATAGACCATGCTTATGTTAGATTAGTTACCTGTTTTTTGTTTTGCAGTACTAGGGATTGAACCCATGGTCTTAACACTGAGTTGCCAGCCTCATTTTTATTTTTATTTTGAGACACTAAATTGCCTGGGTTGGGCGTGAACTTTTTATCCTCTTCCTGCCTCAGCTTCCCACAGTGCTGAGATTATAGGCATGAGCCTCCATGCCTGTCTTCGGTTAGCTTATTTTGGAAACGGGGGCAGTACTGGAGAATAAACGTAGGGCCTTCATGTGAGCTACATCTCCAGCTCTTTTTTAGTTGTGTAGTTTGTTTGTTTTACATTTTAAGGCAGTGTCTCACTAAGTTGCTGTCTTAGATTTATGTTTTTAAAAAAATAGCCACCTTAATTTTAATGAGGTGCCGGGAGTGGTGTGCACACCTGTAATCCCAGCACTTGGGAGGCTGAAGCAGGAGGACCGTTGGGAGTTCGAGACCGGCCTGGGCCACAAGGTGAGCTCAAGGCCAGCCTGAACTGTATAGCGAGACCCTGTCTCAAAAAGACAAAAAAAAATTTTTTTTAAATGAAGTAACTTTAAAGTTCTCTGGTAGATAACTTACTTTTACTCCCATCACCTAGATATACATAATCAGCTTTATCTTTTCTATTTTCTTACAGAAATATTTCAGTGCTCATTTTTACATAGAAATCACATGAATGATTTTCTTGTTTTTGTGCTGTCCAACTGGAAGCACAGAGTAGGCACTGTCACGGCTGAGAAACGTGGGTGCCTTGCAAGGACAGGCCGATGGGGACGAAGAAGAGCCTGTGGTCAGGACAGGGCTGCCGCCCGCACAGCCGGGGGTCTGGGCCTGAAGCGGGTTTCACTCTGTTCACGTGGAGCCGCTCCGGAGAGGGCGGATTTTGCATGTCAGGCGTGTTTTGATAAAACTGAAAGGAAGGGTAAATAATGTCTGCGAAAGACTCACACTGCTTCTCGCTCTAGGACCTTTCCGGAACCTTTTATGCTTTCATTTATTGTCATTCTTTTTTTTTTTTAATTTAGAGAACTCAAAGAAAAGAACAGTAGCAAGATACCAAAACACAGGCAAAAACAAAACAGGGAAAACAGTATGATTCAGGGTTTCAGAACAAAATGATAAAGATTAACAGTGGCTGTTATATTACATATTGTTATCTTCATAGAAGTATTGTCGTTCTTTTAAACAAGAAATAGTATTAGGTCCTACTATGTCCCAGGCCACCATAATAAAAATTTCTGCCCTCAAGGAGTGTACATTTTGTGTATAGAATTAGACAGTAAGCAAGGTAAAATATGTGGCATATCACACAGTTTTATGTCATTAAGGAAAATGCCATGTGGAAGAAGGGTAGGGAATGCTGCGGTAGTGGGCTGCAAGTTTTAAAAGTGTGCCCAGGGAATGCCTCATGGGAAGGTTACTTGGGGTGAGGGTGGGGCTGGAAATTGAACTCAACTGTTTCGCACTGAGCTACATCCCCAGCCTTTTCTTACTTATTTTTTAAATTTTGAGGCAAGAGCTCACTAAATGGCTAACTTGCCCAAGCCGGACGTGGACTTGTCCCCTGCCTCATATCCCAGAGTGCTGGGGTTGCAGGTGTGCATCAGTGCCTGGCAGGGTCAGGCACACTTTGAGTAAACGCCCGAAGAGGGTGAAGGGCCAGGCTGTGCAGCCCTTCTAGGGAAAAGCCTTCTTGATGGAGGGACTGTCAAGGGCAAAGACTCAGGTGGGAGTCCACTTGCCTTTTTGTGTGTGTGTGTTTTTGAGACGGTCTCACTCTGCAGTTCAGGCTGGCCTTGAGCTTACTTTGTAGCCCAGGCTGGTCTCGAACTCTCAACAGTCCTCCTGCCTCAGCCTTCCAAGTGCTAGGGTTACAGGTGTGCGCCACCACGCCCGGCTCTGCTTGCCATTTGGAGGAACAGGAAAAGGCCAGTGTGGTCTCGGAGTGGTGACCAGGGGAAGAGGGCCGGGTACGAGAACTGGGAGGCCATGGAGGCCGCTGGACCGCTTCGGTGGCTACGTGCCTCAGAGGTAAGAGCCACTGCAAGTTCGAAGCAAAGTGGCATCCTCCAGTTTGCACTCCAACAGGCTGTGTGGCTGTTAGCCTCAGAATGAAGGAGGAAGACTAGTAAGGAGGCTGTTTCCATAATGCAGGTGATCTGAAGGGCGGCGTAGACCAGAGTGAGAGCAGCAGAGGCTGGATTCCGAGTGTATGTTGAAGGTAGAGCCGGCAGGATTTGCTGACAACGAGATGTGAGAGAGAAAGCCTTTGGAAGGGCTGGCAGCCGTTACCGCGTTGCTGTGTGTGCCTCGGAGTGGTCGTACTGTGCTGCAGCTGAGTTGTAAAACGACACTTACAGAATAGCATTCGTTAACAAGCTGTAAACATAATAAGGGAAACACTAAAACTTAGAAGATGGTGTTTAGGGTGAAAATAATGAAAGCCAAAGAAGATTGCATTGTTAAATACGTTTTTTTGTGTTTTGTTTTGCAGTGCTAGGGATCAAAACCAGGCTTTGTACATGCTAGGCAAATTTTCTACAACTGTGCTAAATTCCCAGCCCACTTCTCTTATTCTTCTATGTCATTTACTTCTAACACAATTCTGTTCTACAAGGGGCAGTAGCCTTTCTGTAGAATTCACCATAATTGTAGTTCTGTCCAGTCAGTCTCAGACTTCTTTCTGAAGAATTGCTTACTTAACCTACCCCACCAGAGTCCTCACGTGTAACGTTGAGACGGGTAGAAGATCCAGTTAGGCTGTGGGTGTAGTTTAGTGGGAGAACACCTGTCTAGCATGTGCAACCTCCTAGGTTCAATCCCTAGCACCAGGGCTGGGGATTTAGCTCAGCAGCACAGCGCCTATCTGGCAAGCGCAAGGTCGTGAGTTCGATTCCTGGTACCAGAAAAAAAAAAATGAAAAACAACAACAAAAAACCAAAATCTTTGGAGCTGGGGATTTAGCTCAGTGGCACAGCGCCTGCCTGGCAAGCATGAGGTTGTGAGTTTGATTCCCGGTACCGGGAAAAAACAAACAAACAAACAAAATCCCTAGCACCAAAAAAATTTATACAATATGTAAAAATATTACATACAACATTATATATAAAAGTATATATAATATATGAATACATATTTGACTTTATTATTCAGAGCTGTTTCCTGTGCACAGGTCATTCTTGCATTTAAGACAGAGCTAGGTTTTGTTCTTAACTTTTATGATAGGATTTAGTTTTATGTTGTATTCATCTGTTACCAAGTAGGTTTCCTTTTAATTAGCCATACAAAGTATGTCTTTTTCAGGTTTTCTTCTTAGGAAGAGGGAGGCGTTCCAGAAGCTTTTGTGAAACCTTTCAACTTTCAGGAAAAGAAGCTACAAAGCAGACTAGATACCACTGATTTATTCCTTTAGCCCTTAATTCAACAAGAAAATTTTTTTTGAGATAGCGTCTCACTATGCAATTCAGGCTTGAGCTCACAATGTAGCCCAGCCTGACCTTGAACTCATGGTGATCCTGTCTCAGCCTCCCCAGTGCTGGGATTATAGGCATGCACCACCATGCCCGGCTTAGCAAATATTTATTGAGCACCTAGTATGTTCCACACATTGGAAGTACTACATTAAGCAAGGCATGGCCTTGTCTCTGCTCATGGAATTTACAATCTCAGAGTGTTCTGTATTCCTTTTAATACTAAATGGAGCAGAAAGTAATCTTAGGAGAGCCAATGTTATGGAGTAATTAGCTTTCCAGTCAGGTGGTGGTGCAATTTAATTTTGACCTTCACATTTTGTTATGTGACCTTGGGTAAGTGATGTGTTTACTTTGAGCCTCAATTTCCTCACCTATAAAGTAGTACATATATTGTAGTGCTGTTAAGATTAAATAATAAATCTAAAGTACTTTAGCACAGTGATTTATATGCTGTATTTAAGCTTATTTTAGTCTTTTACTTATTTGGTTTTTGTTTTTGTTTTGTCTTTTTTGAGACAGAGTCTCCCTATGCAATTCAGGCTGGCCTTGAGCTCACTTTGTAGCCCAGGCTGGTCTCAAACTTGCAAGGATCCTACTGCCTCAGCCTCCTGAGTGCTGGGATTACAGCCGTGCACCACCACACTGGCTCTTTTACCTCTTTCACGTATTTGGACCTGAAAATAGCTAGCAATATTATAAAATAAATGCCAAAAGTGTGTACTCAAAGGAATTTTCACCACTCCCTTCTCTTGAGAGTACTTGGTTATATTAGGATCTCTAAGACTGCTTCATCTGTATTTGAGGAAAAAATCTGGAAGTGAGTGAAGGTTTTTTTTTTTTTCCCCCGGTACTGGGAATCGAACTCATGACCTTGCGCTTGCCGAGCAGGTGCTGTGCTGCTGAGCTAAATCCCCAGCCCCAAGTGAAGGTATTTCTTGAGGAACAAAGTTGGGGAGGACTTTTTGGGTCTTGTTTTGTTTGGACAAGGTGTTACTGTGCCGATTAGGCTGGTCTCAAAGTCCTGAGCTCAAACGAGCCTCAGACCTTAGCCTCCCGAGTGCTGGCACTGGAAGATTGTGCCGCTGCACCTGGCTTGCCTGGGAGGATTCCTGTGATGCTGTACACTGTTCCTCTCAGTAATGATGAAATCCTCAGGCCAGGGACTGTGTCTCCCTCAGTCTGCGAACCCTACCGTGGGATTTGTGGTAGGTACCAGTCATAGCTTTATTTAGTACATGATCAGAAACTTTAAAGGGGAAAAAAGCCTTTCAGGGCAACTGCTGGAACCATCTCATCACGCATGGGCGGTTGGAACTGGCTCGTACAGCTGATCGCCGCAGTCCCTTGAGCCTCACCCTTGCCCACATTCATGGATCTGGTACATTCACACTCAGCATGGTGCCCCAGGGATGCGCAAGCTGTGTCAGAGGAGCGTTTGGCTATTCTGGTATCTTCCTGGGCAGATTCCTGGGAAAGTTTCTTGAGCTGTGAGAATCCCCAACTAACTATCTCCTAAGTCCTCTACCTCAGCACGTTCCCGCCCTTCCTTGGCCTCACCATCTGAATAGCGACTTTACTCCCAAACCTCTCAATTCTCTCTTCAGATTTTTCTCCCAAATGACTTGTGGCTCCTTGGTTGACTAAAGTGAGGAGTGATTTTCTGTGTTTGAGTTTATCTTTTAGTTTTGTTTTTTAAACAGGTTCTCTAATTGAACAGCTAACAACAGAGAAATATGAGTGCATGGTGTGCTGTGAGCTGGTTCGAGTCACGGCCCCAGTGTGGAGCTGTCAGAGCTGTTACCACGTGTTTCATCTGAACTGCATCAAGAAATGGGCGAGGTCTCCAGCGTCTCAAGCAGGTCAGTTATTTCTCTTTCCTAAGTAGTTATTCTCACCTATTTGATATGTGTCACTTGTAAACCTAGCTTTAAAAATACTAATTCTTCTTTGGCCAGGCATTGTGGTGCACTCCTCTAATCCCAGCACTAGGGAGGCAGAGGCAGGAAGAGCTCTACAAGTTCGAGGCCAGCCTGGGCTACAAAGTGAGTTCAAGGCCATCCTGAACTACATAAGGAGACCCTGTCTCAAAAAAACAACCAAACGAAGAAAGAGAAAAACTAATTCGTACATGTTTTATCTGCAGAGAGAATATGTTGCCTTGATCACATTTCAGGTGACCAGAGTTAAGCTGTTGATCTTAAATAAAACTGCTGAACATAGCAATAATATAATATTTAAGAGTATTATAAAATTGGTCATTATTATTGAAAATGATAGCTTTTATCCAAGTAATAACTTGTGTTTGTTGTATAGTTTGCCTTAGAAATTTTATACAAGGCAGCTATTTAATTTTCTTTTCTTTTTTCTTTTTTTTTGGTTTTTCTCTGGTACCGGGAACCGAACTCACGACCTTGTGCTTGCCAGGCAGGCACTTTTGCCGCTGAGCTAAATCCCAGCCCCTTAATTTTCTTCAGTAGAGTTGGCTTTGCCTTTCATGTATCTTCTGCATAGTTTATTATGGACTTTTCTCAAATATACCAGTATATGCTTCTTGAATTGTGGATCTCTAATTTAAAACATTTGAATTTTCTTGCATGTATTCAAATACTTTTTCCTAATGAACCACGTATTTACTGATTCATTGCATCTGAAAGTCCTTATAAATGTAATCCCAAATGTGATATTTAAGCAAATTATTCCCAATGAAGAATTTGTTTCTTAAATGTCTGACATACTTCACATTGAAATTACTACAATTGCTTCTAATAGATTAAAAAACTTTTTTTTTTGAAACAAGATGTCCCCTTATGGCCCAGGCTGTCTCTGATACCTTGTTTGGAGGTTCTAGCAGGGGAGCGCAGCTACTCATATACCCCTGACCGAGGAGCGGTCCTCCTCTGTGGGGGAAGGTTGTCCCCTTTTCCGAGCACACAGCTTCGGGAGAGATGCACATGGAGCAGGGAGGGAGGAAGGGGACACCCGTGTGGCCAGTCAGGTCAGTTGAGCCAACCCTGACAGTCAGTAGAGTGACACGTGGTGCAGCCAGGTTGCCTTCACATCGCCAAGCCGCCTTGAAAACTCATAGGCTCAATTATCCTCCTGTCTCAGCCTCCTAAGTAGCTGGGATGGTAGGCATGTGCTACCATGTCCTACTTAAGTTTAAATCTCATTTTCAAAATTTTTAAATATTTTCTGTGGTGTTGGAGGATTGAACCCCAGGCTTTGCACATACTACACAAGCCTCTGCCACTGGGCCATATCTCCAGCCCTAAATCTTCAAAAGTTACTTGTGTTTTCTTTTTGGGAGACCCTGGGGATTGAATCCAGGGCCACAAGCCTGCTTAGCACATACTCTGCCACTGAGGTACTTGTGCTTTTGAAAGAAAATTTATTTGGCTTACTCTCCTTCTTTGACAGATGGCCAGAGTGGTTGGAGGTGCCCTGCCTGTCAGAATGTTTCTGCACATGTTCCTAATACCTACACTTGTTTCTGTGGTAAGTTTGTTTGCATACACCAGCGTATCTTATTTCATGCATTATATTTTAGTTCTCGGTCCGAGAGAGGCGGTCTGCTCGGCTTGTTTTAGAAGTTACTTCCAGGTATGAGTCCATAAGACTGTTATGGGTCTGTTACACAGTCAGAGTCACAGGTTTTGCTTTTTTTTGTTTTGTCTTTTTGAGACAGGATCTCGCTATGCAGTTCAGGCTGGCCTTGAGCTCACTTTGTAGCCCAGGCTGGTCTCGAACTCAGTGATCCTCCTGCCTCAAGCTCCTGAGTGCTGGGATTACAGGTGTGCACCACCACGCCCAGTGAGAAATTTTCTATAAGCTAACATCATAAACCCCATCCTTGCATCCTCCCTCTTTATGAAATACTTTTTCCTGTTTTGGAATAGCTCATTTCCTCCTATTAAAAAAAAAGCTTTCTTTGATCCAGATGTTCATTCCTAGTGCTAGCCTATTTCCTGCATGTCTTTTTTTTCCCTTCCTGACTTTTAATGACTAGCTTTCTCTAGTTGATTTTTCAGTTTGTTTCTTAACTGTTTATCTGCCTCCCTGCATTACTGCACTTTCGCTTCTGTCCTTGTTTCCTTAGGGAAACTGTTTGGAAGTCTTCAGTAACCCATTCTTGACCACATCTAGGGCTCATTTGTACATTCTTAATCTTCTTGGCAGCCTGACCACTGAGACTGTGACTATTCCCTTCCTAACATCAGTAGCTCTTCTCTTCCTTTCTGTAAGCTGTCCTTATTTTTCTAACCAGTTTGCTCATATTTCTCCTTTCTCATCATTTAAATAGCAGTTTTCACCAAGAGTTATTGACTGTCAGCTCTTTATCTCTGTATTCCCATCCTCTTCCCATCCTCTGATGAACTCATTGTCATATCCCCTCTTCTAATGGAAGCCTTTGTTTTTCCTTCTTTCATTTTGGCCATTCTTTTATTTAGAATCTGCTGGTCTTATGTGGGTTATTTCCAAAATGGGAGCCTTCATAGATACTCAGCATTGTTAGTTGAAGGAATGAATATTCTTGACCGCTGTTGGAAAGGCAGCATGAAGTCGGTTACAAATTGGAGGTGGGCGTGGTGGCGCACACTGTAGTTCTGGAACTGGGGAGGCTGAGTGAGGGCCATCGCAAGTGGAAGGCCAGCCTGGGGTGCGCAGTGAGTCCGAGCCAGCCTGAGTTACACAGCGAGGCCCTGCCTCCAGCAACCAGGGGGAGGCGGGCCGTGGGAGATGGCGGCATCAGGGTAATCACCTTGTTTTGCAGGCTTGGGCACAAAGTACCACTGTGGAATTAACCACGCTGGGGACCTCGGGAGAAGGATAAGGATAAGGATAAGGAACCCGTGGAGGCGAGAGGGCGGGCAGCACAGGCCAGAGAGACGTGAGGGGTGGAAGGCTGTGGAAATGCGGATGATGGCCTTGTCTGCCTGGTGACTTTGCCCTGCGCAGGCCTTCAAGACTGTTAATTGAATGCGCTTTTTTGAGAATTTGCTGTTGTGAAAAAGCGGCGCAGGACCACTTTCTGACTATCCAGACCTTACAGTTTAAGAGTTAAAACCCACATAAGCTGATGCTGCGCTAGAACTGCGCAGTGCTGTAGGAGGTCTTTGCGAGGAGCTAGGACTGCTAGCTAGATGATTAAGGGACGCTTTCATGAAAGGTAGAATTTAACTGGGCTTGAAAACTGGGTAGGCAGGAAGGACTTAGTTATTTGTTATAGAATGGTATGAGCAGAAATTCAAAGCTAAGATTTACAGTCTTTGGGAGAAGAAGGAGTCATCGTTTTATAGACCCCAGGACCCAGGATGGCGGGAGAGTAGATGACTGGGAAGGTGACCCTTTTCAGATGCGGGAAGCCGTCAGGGGCGTCAGTTTTTACGGAGATGAGTTATTGGCGGCCAGATTTCGGAACCTAAGCAGTTTGGAAGCTTACAGTAATCCAAATGAAGAGTGATGAAAGTCTACAATGAGGAGGACAGCAGGGAAAAAGTAAAAATTTCTAAAGTAAATAAATATTAACAATTCCTGTTTGTTAGGAATTAACAACAGTTCCTGTTTGTTAGGACTTAACAACAGTTCCTGTTTGTTGGGAAAGGGAGGGACCCAGGTGTGACTGCAGAGTTTCATGCTTTTGGAAATGATGATGCCAGGGAAGAGCAGGCCAAGAGAAGCATGTGGGGAGAGAACTCGCTTTGGTGGGGACATGGGTTCAGGTGAGACACCGAGTGGGGGAATGTGAGAGGCATGCAGCAGGCAGGTGGGAATACTTGAAGAGGGGTAGAATTTAGGAGTGATGGCTGCAGTGGAGAGGAGCAGATGGGACCCTCGTGGATAAAACGATAAGGAGTGAAAAAAGGTGCACTGCAGAGCCCTGGAGGAGAAAAGACAGAACAACAGCAACAACAGAAACTGTCCTTCTGACTGAAAGAAGAGGACCACCGAAGGGTGTCGGGCAAAACCAGGGCACTGTATTTGAGCAAGAAAGCTCAGAGGCCGGGCAGCGTTTGCGATAGTTGGGAGGCGGGATTTTGGCCAGTAGGAGGCAACCCAATAATAGGAGCGCAGATGAGCTGAGACACTCCTCGAGAAAATGAAGAAATGGTGATTAAGTAGAAAAATGGAAGGAAAAGAGGAATGTGATTTCTCCAGTGTCTGTGTGTCTAATGCTGCAGTGCTGATGGTACTGAGAGGTACGGAAGAAGGAGGGGCCCTCGAAGGAGGTAGAAGCTGTGGCTATGGATAGGGCAGGGGTGGCGGACACCCCGAGCAGACGTCCAGGAGACCGCTGGACATGCAGGGTGGCAATAAGGGTTTCGGACATGGCAGGAAGTGTGATTTGGGTAGTTTCTAAAAGAAACAATACGAGCACGCGCGGAGGTGCAGGACGGGATGGCTGTTACTTCACATGTAAACTACCCCGGTGAGGGGGGGTTCTTTAAGAGCAAGCGGTCCTGCGCCCTGGGTGTTAGCCTTGTCTGCCTTTCTGCTAAGTCCAAGGGAGATGCCCAGTAAAGCTTTGCAGAGTATTGATTGTACAGTTGTAGTCCTTTTGTGTCTTTTATAGCTTTAGAATAGGCGAGCTCCTGCTGTACGGGGGATTTATATCCGTTCCATCTTACAGAAGCCTCCTCGCCTGTAACCCAGTGCTCTTCTTCCTTTATTTCTTCCTGGTTTTTACCACAGATATTTAACAGTCCAGGGGTTTGATCTCAAAGGTATTTGACTTAGATTAAGTGTGTTCATTAGTCAGAATGGCATTTGCATAACTAAAATGACGGTTTCCCAGGTAATCTAGATTTTGTGGCTTAGCTTACTCGGGGAAGCTTTTTGTTTTGGTTTTTCTTTTCTTTCTTTCGGTACCGGGAATGGAACTCAGGACCTTGTGCTTGCCAGGCAGGTGCCATGCCACTGAGCTGTATCCCCAGCTGGTTTTTCTTTTTTGAGACAGAATTTCACTGTGTAGTTCAGGCTGACTTTGAAGTCACTGTGTAGTCCAGGCTGGCCTTGAACTCACAGAAATCCTCCTGTCTCATCCTCCTGCGGGCTAGGATTACAGGTATGCACCACCATAGCTGGCAGGATGCCTTGATTAATAGCATTTTATTTACTTTTTTGTTTTAGGATGTGAGATGATGCATTTGTTGAACTAATGAAAACCACACTCAAGTTACATGCTAGCTAACTATATACTGTACTGTACTTGGCTCATTAAAGCCAAGAATATGGTTGAGCCAGGCGTGGGGGCTCATGCCTGTCATCCCAGCACTCAAGAGGCAGAGGCAGGAGGATCACTCTGAGTTCGAGGCCAGCCTGAACTGCATAGTGAAACCCTGTGTCAAAAAAAAAAAAGACAAAAAATGGTTGAAATTTATAGCATTGACATTGATCTCATATGTTTTAGGCAAGGTAAAGAATCCTGAATGGAGCAGACATGAAATTCCACATAGTTGTGGTGAGGTGTGTAGAAGGAAACAGCCTGGCCAGGACTGCCCACATTCCTGTAACCTGTAAGTTGGAAAATTGGACCTCTGGGGATGCCTAGTGGACAGGCTTTATATGTCCAGCGGTGGCTATACATATACGTTATTGGTTAGCATGTGACAGAACAGGGTGGAGGGTGATATGGTACCATTTACGGGGCATTACTCTATACCAGCACTTCACGTAAGGTAATTTGTTGAATCCGTACCACAACCAAGTGATATGTATTCATTATCTCCACTTTATACATGAGGCTCAGGAAGGCCAAGCTTCTTGCCCAGCACCAGTGTAAGGACGTGCTGGGGCTAGGATTTTCAAAGACAGCCCTCTTTTCACTGTATTACATTGCTGGCTTTTAGAAAGAAATGAGACTGGGATATTTTATGCCCAGTGATAGGCAGGTCGGAGAGAGCATGTGGGACAGCCTTGGTGTTGGAGGGAGAGGCAATTGTGCAGCATCCGCCTGCCAGTATTTTTAGGATGTGAATCCTTTGCCTCCATCCTGTCCCCAAAAATAAAGAGGAATGAGTCACGGAGAAACAGACGAGTAAATTTCTTCAGACTTTGACCTCAGACAAAGATTGAAATTTTGGGCTGGAGTTACTTAAACAGTTACATGACCTAGGACATGTTACATAACTTCTCTAAGCCCGAATTTGTACATCTGTAAAATAGTAATTACGTGAATGATACTTCTTGTTACATGAATTTTATGCAAATTAAATGCATGTCTCTAGGAAGCTTGGTACAAGGTCTGCCAAGAGGTCAGGAACGGTATTTCTTGCTTTATTGCCTAAGTCCAACAGCAAAACAGATAGGAGAGCGTTACTGCAGTGCTCCTGCTGCGCGGAGCCGGGGTAAATATTTGCCCTGGAGCCTGTGATCAGGCTGGGCGGTAGTGGTGCCAAGGAGTGGGCAGGGGGGCACAGCTGGTCCGACTGGGCACAGCTAAAGGGCACGGCCAGTGGCTTGCTGAGCAGTCAGCGGCCTCCCTCCGATCGCCTCTCCCCAGGGACTCGTTTCCTAATGCTCCCTTGAACGAGCGGGCATTTTCGTCGTGACTGCCAGGCGGTACCAGAAGTCCTGTGGGGCAGGCAGTCAACTCCGTGTCTGAAGTACAGTACAGCCTGTTCTTCCCTGGCTCTGGAAATCCTGTGTTCAGCTTGGAAACTGCTTGTACTTCTGTCAGGACTGCATTCCCAACAGTGCTTTCCAGGCCCCACACCAAGCTTTGTGTGTCTCATACCAGGATTCGGAGGCCGCAGCTGGCCTCTTCCTCTATTTTGGGTTATCCCATAGGTCGTACAGTTCTCTGGAGCAGTGGTTCTCAATCCTGGGTGCCTATTAGAATCAGTTAGGGAACGTTTACAGCACTGGCGTGCAGGCTGTATCTTAGAGCAGTTCAGTCTGTGGGCGTGGGTAAAATGCTGCAGTGCAGCTGCCGGTGGTGTGGTACAGGCCTGTAATCAGTGCGTGCTGGGGGCCAAGGCAGGAGGATTGCAAGTTCAAACCCACCTGGGCAACTTAATGACTTAGTGAGACCCTGTTTTAAAATAAAAAACAGGGGCTGGAGGTGGAGCTCAGTGAAGGCTGTGGGTTCAATCCCCAGTACTTCCTCCCCACGAAAAAAGGTTCTAATATGTAGCCAGCATTGCAGACCATTGTTTAAAAGGTTAAGAAAACCTGGGATTGAGTTCAGAAGTTACAGAAATTCCAGCGGACATTTGAAATTACTTGGAATCACCCATACCTACCCCACAGTTTATCCATCATTTAAAAGTATTTAAATTGTTTTACTTGTACCGGTGTGTGGTGGCTCATGCCTATAATCCCAGCACTCTGGAGGCTGAGGCAGGAGGATCACTGTGGGTTCACTGCCAGCCTGGGCTACATAAAAGAGTTCAAGGCTGCTGGCTTGCATTATATAATGAGACCCTGCCTCAAAAACAGATAGGTAGATAGATAGTTTTACATGAAGGGGTTGAGCCATAGCATATGAAATATAACTGTTGAATAATGACACTCATCCTTAAAGAGATCTGCCTAAACGTATATCTAAGACATTTTCTGTCAGAAGAGGTCACCTTAGAAGACTTAGGCTCTTGTTCTTATATTGTTTCCAGTGTTGTCTTACTTACAAGTTATCAGAACTGGGCTAGGATTCACATGGGAAGCTAAAAATCCCGAGCTGGGTGTGGTGGTTCTTCCTGTAAGCTCAGCACTCTGGGATCCTCAGCCAGGAGCACTGCAAGTTCGAGCCCCGTCTGGGTAACCTTAGTGTGTTACGAGACCCTGTCTCACAGTAAGACATAGAAAGGGCTGGGGAGTGTAGCCTAGTGCTGAGGCGCCGGGTTTAGTCCTGAGTGTCACGGCCACCGTCATCGTCATCCCAGCCAGACTACATTATAGGCACCTGGGCTGTTTTTGTTTTTTACACAAAATTCTGTTACTGAAATTCTGTTAATTAGACTTACCTCAGGTTGCCTTTTAATTCCCAAGGGATTATACCTTGCCATCACTTAAAATTCCCTCTTAAGAAGTTGCTCTAGAAGTTCCCAAAGTGTATTTTTGAAGTACTGTGTGATTGCCAGGTTGTCTGCTTTGAAGAGGGCATTATTTATTTGGATATACAAATTCTATTTTGTAAGGTTTTTTCCTGTTGGTTTCTATAATATAGTTCCTATAATATAGTTCCTACAAAGAGCGTTCTACTCAGAGACCTGCGTAGACCCGCACCCCTTCCTTCTCTCCCTTTGTTGTTTACCAGTGTGCCCCCCATGTCTCCTCACTGTTCCTGATGTACCCCATTGGCTGGTGAGCACCTCACTAGCTGAGAAGGACCGTACTTCTTATGGGCCTAGGCGATTTGCTCAAAATCTGACCTTGTACAGGACCTGTTAGGCATTCTGCCGGTCACCTGAGCGCTGAGCCATTTTCTCCCCCACAGACTGCTGTCAGTGGGCCAGTGCCATGTTTGAAAATGTCATCTTTGTCAGACCCAAATAAAACCAGTATTTTGACTTGGGCATTAGTTTTCTGATTATATATCCTGAGATGAGATTTAATTTCATTGTTCTGGAATTTTTTTTTCTTTTTTAGATGAGGTCTCACTTATATAGACCAGGCTGGCCTTGAATTCTTAAGTGTCCTCCTACCTCAGCCTCATATGGGTGTGCACTACCAGGCCTGGCCAGAATTTTTTTTTTTATTTCTTTCTCTTTTTGAAAGGCCCTGGATTGGCAGGGCGTGGTGGCACACACGCACTTGGGAGGCTGAGGCAGGAGGATCGTTGTAAGTTCGAGACCAGCCTGGGCTACAGAGTGAGCTCAAGAGCAGCCTGCACTGCAGAGCGAGACCCTGTCTCAAAAAGACAAAAAAAGAAAGACAGACAGACAGACAGGTAAACAAGCCCTGGATTGAACCCAGTGCCTTTGTACTGAGTGACTTCACCAGCCCCCAGCTCCAAACCCCTTTTTAATTAATTTATTTATTTAGAAACAAGAGTCTTGTGAAATTGCCCACACTGGGCTGCAACTTTTTTTTTTTTTTTTTAGACAAGGTCTTGCTATGTAGTGCAGGTTGGCCTTGAACTTACTATGTCACTATGTAGCCCTTCCTGGCCTTGAACTTGTGGCAGTGTTCCTGCCTCAGCCTCCCAAGTGCTGGGATCACAGGTATGTGCCACCATGCCCAGCTGGGTTGGAACTTTTAATCCTAAATGTGTTTGTTTGTTTGTTTTTGAGACAGGGTCTCATAGTTCAGGCTGGACTTGAACTCAACAACTGTGGCCCAGGCTGGCCTTGAACTTGTGGCAATCCTCCTGCCTCACCCTCCCGAATGCTGGGATTATAGGCTTGTACCACCACACTCAGCTGTTTGTTTTTGTAGTACTTGGGACTGAACCTCAATCAGGTTGAGCTACATCGTCAGCCCTCTTTGATTTTTTTGTTTGAGAGAGGGTCTTGTTAGGTTGCTAAGCTTTAGAGAAATACTAAAGTGTTTCATAGTAGGTTTATTCATAATAGGGCCCAGTTGGGGCAGTTTTGTTTTGGTTTGGGTACAGGGTATAATTCATTCACTGTGGCCTTTCTTTTGTAGTCTCTGCCATCCTGGACCCTGCCCACCCTGCCCTGCCTTCATGACTAAAACATGTGAATGTGGACGGACCAGGTAAAGTTAGAGTTGTACTATAAAGAAGGCTTCAGTTTCCGCGTGCGTGATTTACTTGTGCATTTCCCAGAGGAAAGATGATTAGTAGATACAAACAAGTAGTAAGGGTGGCATCCGGGGGATTGGTTCCGGGAGCCCAGGTGTGCTGTTCGCATATGGCATGCCTGTATCCTCCTGTGTGCTTTAAGTCACCTCTGCATGACTCGTATCACCTAACACAATGCAAATGCCGCGTAAATAGCGGTAAAATTAGATTGTTTAGGGAATAATGGCAAGAAAGAAGTCTTTAATGTTCGGTATGGATGTATCTTTTTTAAAAAACAGTGTATGTGCTCTTGGTTGAATCTGGGTGAAGAACTGATGCGGCAGGGCACCTGTGGGGCGGTTCTCTAACAGCAGTCTGTGTATGTCGCCAGTCCTGTTTCACCTGATAGCTGATTAAGAGGTTGTGGCACAGTGGGATTGTGATGTTACCCATGCGGTGAAATGCCAGGGTGACGGGGATTTTCTTAGCCTTTCTCGTGGGCGACGAAACCCCGAGGTGAGCCCGGGCCTATTACGGTCCAGGAGGCGGGCGCCGTTTTTCCTGTGCCCAGCATGGTGTCTGCGGGCCTCGAGAAGGTGTTTCAGTGAACATGGTTGAATAAGAGAGCGGGGAGCCCCAGTGAGCCTGCCCTCTTAGAACGCGAGCTCCCCGTCTTCAGTGTGCGCCCCCGACGGCTGTGGAGGGCCTCACAGGCCCAGGGAGACCTCACAGTGATTTCTGGGCCCTGAGACAGGATGTGATCACACACGTCCTCAGGGATGTAGAGCTCTTTTGTAGCAGTGTGGCCTGTGAGGCCCAGGCAAGCATTCCGGGTCAGAAGATCAGATCTGGGGTCTACTGCATAACTTGTTGTTCATCCTGGGCAAGTTGTACCGTCTTGCGGCGCTTCATTCTTCCTATTATAAAATTGAACTAATAGTGTCTGTCTTAAGAGGCTGATGTTAGCCATGGTGCTGGGCATATGGTTGCATAATAGGCTGCCGGTAGCCATTATACTGATCATCTGTACGTCAATCACCTGTGTATTAGAACAGTGACTTTTTATTTTTACTTTATTTCATTTAGTTGTCTTTGAGACAGGGTTTTGCTGTTTTTGAGATGGGTCTTGTAGTTTTCCCATGCTGGCTTCAAAGTCTGGATCTTCCTGTCTCAGCCTTCTGAGTAGCTAGGACTATGGGGGTGTGCTTCTACACCCAGCTAAAAGTAACTTTTAAAATAAAATACGTAGTTGAGATAGGATTAAGGGATGGAATAAACTCCAAGTTATTGGATAGATTCCAAGTATTAAACCCTAGGAAGAGACCAAAGACATTATCTAAAAGCCCATAAATCCACAAAATTAGCATGTTTATTAGAACAAAACTAGGGTGATTTTCCCACTCTGAATCAAAGTCAGATCTAGTAATACAGCAGTGTAAAATGCTAGCATGCTGGGCCCCAGGAAAAGCTTACTGTGTTTTCAGTCTGTGTCAGAGCTGGGTACCTTTCCTCCCCAGTCTGTAAGGTGGGAGCTCTAGGCAAAACTAGGACTACAGCCTGGATCTTCTGGCCCCTCATCGGAGGGCTCTCTTCCCTCCCACATGCTGCTTTGTGGAATTGAGATGAAAGCTCACAGAACATTCTCAGGGTTAGCCTTCAACAGGAGAGGAGACTGCTTAGGAAAGTGAAGGAGGGGAGAGCAATTAAGGAAATAAGAACTGGAGGGAGGAGATGTAGGAAAAAGTGGGTAAGGGCCGGGCGTGGTGGCACATGCCTGTAGTCCCAGCACTCAGGAGGCTGAGGCAGGAGGATCATTGCATGTTTCAGACCAGCCTGGGCTATAAAGTGAGCGCAAGGCCAGCCTGAACTGCATAGCGAGACCCTGTCACAGGAGATATGGGGGCAGCAACAGTGTTGGAGGAGCGTTGGTAGGTTTTCAGGGGAGAGTTTGGGCTTCACTGTTTGTTTAGCTGTGCACCAGAAACTTGGGGCTGACGTCATCTGTGCATCTGCTGTCTTTGCAGGCACACAGTTCGCTGTGGCCAGGCTGTGTCAGTCCACTGTTCAAACCCATGTGAGAATATTTTGAACTGTGGTCAGCACCGCTGTGCTGAGCTGTGCCATGGGGGTCAGTGCCAGCCTTGTCGGATCATACTGAACCAGGGTAAGTGGTGTGCACGCCAGCTGCTAGTGCTAGTGGGCTTTTCTGAACATGGTCTGTAAATTATATTGCAGTAAAACTTCTTAAAAAATCCGCAGTAAGGCAGAAAGATCAAGGGGAAGGGAGAAAAATCGAAATCTATAGTGAGGTACCTGTTCATACTTAATAGTATAGCTAAAATAAAAATAACAACCAGATGTTGGCAAGGGGAGAACAACTGGAATTCTCATATATTGCTGGCAGGTGTGTAAAATGGTGCAACTACTTTAGACAAGTTTAGTGGGGTTTTTTTTTTGTGTGTGAAAATAAACCTATGTATCCTATAACCTATATACCTGTGTCATAAAAAGACTTTACAGGGATATATATTCGTAGGAGCCCCAACCAGAAAACTGAAATATTCTTCAACATGACGAGGGATAGATAAAGAAATAGTGTTTTTCTTTTCTTTTTTTCCTTTCTTTCTTTCTCTCTTTCTTTTTTATTTATTTATTTATTTTTGATACTGGGGATTGAACCGAGGGCCTCTGCAATCAGTTTCATCCCCAGTGCCCCCTTTTTAAAGTTTTTCTGTAGATACCAAATATCTTCAAGCATTTTGGCCCCACATATAGATTGTCTTCTCAAATGGTAATTGTTCGAGCATGCCTTGCAGCCTTACGTAGAGATTTAATGAGCATTCCTTCTAGGTGTTCATTCACGTGTGGATAAAATGTGGAGCGGACTGAGGCAGGCAAGAGTGCTTCCTGCAGACTGTCTTTGCGTCCCAGATAGTATTCACCTATCTGTGACTAACCCTTCTGGCACCAGCTTACACCTAAGTACAACAAAGCTTTTTGGTGTTACACTCTATTTCCTGGTTGACCAAGGGCTCCATTTTATTTTATTTTCATAATTTTTTTACCCTGAATTCTTAATAGCTTTCTGCTCATTACCTCTGAAAACGGCTCTGTCTTGTGTGAGCGGAAACTTAGCAAGGAAAAGCCTGCTCGAAGGAGGTCCTTGTTGCTGGGAGTTGTTTACCAATTTATTGATTTCACAAATACTGTTTTTTCCTCCATCTCTATTAAATATCTGATGAGCGCTCCTTGGATGAGTGAGGTTTTCTGTTGCAGTGCAGGGCTGGAACTGGCTGCTAGGCAGCGCTCTCCGCTCAAAGTGTCTGACGCTTCTTACTCAGCGTGAATACTCAGACATGATGGCTTCCGACTGAACAGCGGTGTACAAGTAGTCAAGGACTTCATGCTGTCCTGGTAACTTAAGTCCTTTTAGTAGCAAGGACTTTTCCTCATCATTTTGCGTGAACTCTATCATAAAAGCACCCAGTCTGTGCTGCTGCGATGCTGTAAGGATGGGGATGCAGGTGTCAGCCCGGCTACCGCTTCTCGCGGTTGAGCTTGTCCGTCCCGTTACTCCCCAGGAGTCTCACAGCGCGTGGCGCCCTGCCGTGGCGTTGTAGACCGCAGAGTGTGCTCCGCACGGTTCAGTAGTTCCTTCACCCGGGTGCTGTGCTGCAGCAGCACTAGCAGGCCCTGGCAGTTTCACGAGGCCTTCTGTGTTTATTCCTGCATCAAGCTCCTAGGTGGACCTTACACCTGCACCCGTTTCCGCCTCAGATCTGATCAGCAGTTCAGTGAAGAGCAGTTTGTGTTTTCTTTATTGTTTCTATTCTCTCTTCGCAGTACTTGCAATTGAACCCAGGACCTTCTCACTGACCTGCTTTCCCAGCCCATTTTTATTTTGAGACAGGGTATCACTAAGTCACTAAGTTGCCAGGCTAGATTGAAACTTGTACTCCTCCTGCCTCGGCCTCCCATAGTGCTGAGATTACGGGCACGCGCCCCCCTACCCAGCTGCATTTTGTGTCTCTTTGTAGACTGTTAGGAATATCTTAGGAGCACATGCAAGTGACTAATCTGTTGATTTTGAAATTGCGTCCTCAAGTATGCTACTGTGGCAGCACCCCCCGAGATGTTCTGTGCGGGACAGACACAGGGAAGTCTGACGGATTTGGGGACTTCAGCTGTTTAAAGATATGTGGCAAGTAAGGTTTTACGTTTTCTTCGCTTAGAGTAAAGCTGTGTTTATGCACCAGTTGTAGAACGGTCTGTTGTTTTTCTTTACAGGGACTTGAAGTGTGGGAACCACACGTGTTCTCAGGTGTGCCACCCTCAGCCCTGCCAGCCTTGCCCGCGGCTCCCCTACCTGGTACGCTTTTGCCCTTGTGGCCAAACTCCTCTTGGCCAGCTGCTGGAGCTGGGAAGTAGCAGCCGGAAGACGTGCATGGACCCCGTCCCCTCGTGCGGAAAAGTGTGTGGCAAGCCCCTGCCTTGTGGCTCCTCAGGTAACGAGGGGCGGGGCTGGCCCGAGCAGTGTTTGTAGAGAGAACGTCGGCGGCAGCGATGCCGCGGCAGAGTGGGGGGCTGTGTCGGTGGTGTTCTCACTGTTCTCGTCAAGTTTCTGTAGCTCCTCAGAAAACCTTCTCCAGACACACCTAGAAAATACGCATTTGCCCAAGTGATCTCTCCGGTGCAGGTATTTTATTGCCTCCGTGGACAATGATGGTGAGACACTACCCCTTGGGGATTAGGATTTCTTTTAGCATCCTGCTCTACAAGAAACACCATATTTTCTTTTACTAACCCAGGCATCAGCAGGTGTTCAAATGCTTTTTCCTATATGAGGGCATGCCAAACTAATTGGATGAGGTGTTTTAAGGAGTACAGTGATATTTCAGCTATCGAGAGCAAAGAATGTCATTCTTCCGAGCCATTTCCCGTATACCTGAGCTAACAGCTTTGGAGCACCAGTTTGGAGGGATGTTTGTCTAGAATGTATATTCTCTTCTCTACACAGAGGTCCCCGAATTTCTTTCCTCTTACTGGCACGGTTATCGTTTTCATGGACTTGTTACTGTATTAAACTTAGTACAGTGATGCCGTCAGCAGCTGCTGGGTTTCTCAAGCTGGTTGCCCATGCCAGTGGGCAGATTGTATTGTTTGATGTGCTTGTTACAGCTTTTTGTTATTTTCTGGTCGGTACTTTAGTACGCCTGCCTGCCTACCTTTAGTGACTTCCTTTTTTCTCATTGGTGGTTTCTGATTACTTGGATGTAGAAACCAGGAAAAAGTTTGTTGGGATTCGATAGTAGTTTGAGTTTATTAACGGAGCCTGTCTAACAGTCTTTGGGCATATATGTGGGCAGTTTGCAATGACTTGGCAACTTCTCTTTTTAGTGAGTATTCAAAGGCAAGTTAGGCTGAATAAGAAAGGTTTTCTTGTAACTCATCATGCATCTTCTTAGGTAAAACTAGGCTCTTTAAGTTTGGTTTCCATTTTATTGAAAGGAAAGATTGCAATGTTTTTCTGCATACCAGCAAGAATGACTAGAGAGACCTACTTTTTCTCAAAAGAGGGGAAAAAGGGCTCTCTCCCTGCCTTTTGTTTTGTTTTGTTTTGTTTTTGAGACAGAGTCTTGCTATATATTTCAGGTTGGTCTTGAATTTACTATGTAGCTCAGGCTGACCTCAAACTTATGATCTTCCTGCCTCAGCCTCCCAAGTGCTAGGGTTATAGGAATGTGCCACCATGCCTGGCTTCTCACATATTTTAACACAAGGTCCAGCTGCATTAGGAAAATTAGTTTTCTCTTGGTTCTCTGCCTGCCGTGAAAATTACCTATGAAATGGAAAACAAATAACTTCTGAATCGTGAAGGATGGTAAACGTGTCAGTTGTGTAAGAATAGCATATGTAACGTCCATCCTTCCTACCTCAAGGCTTAGACATTCTACTGAAAATGAAAGAAAAAGGAAATGTAAAATGAGTAGTGCAAAGCGACAGCTAAGAAGAGGAGTAACTGTCCGGAACAGGGCTGGGGCGTGGCCGTACCAGGGCATTGCTGCCTCAGCAGTGCTTTTTCAGCGGTGGTTTTCTTCCTTCCTTTCTTCCCCCCAGTGCTGAGGGGGGAGCTCAGGGCCTCGCAGAGGCCAGGCGGGTTCTCTGCCGGTATGGTACAGGCACAGTCCCTCGGCAGAAGAAAATCGAGCTAGGTCGTCGTCGCTTTCTTTGCCACCGGAGGTGATGGCTGTCGGCGGGAGCTTCCCAGGCTGTCTTCTGCGTGACTCTGTGCCCGTGTGTCACACTAAGAACATCTCAATTCAGGTGTTCTAAGTGCACTTGTACCGTGTGTATTTCGATGTAGCTTGCTGTTTTCAGTGAATAGTGCATCTTGTAGGTACTCTTCGGTTAGTTTTTTCCTGATTTCTTAGAAATTTAAATCCATTTGGAAGTGTTCACCTTTGTGGAAAGGTTAAAATGGGTTCATATATTTTACTCAGGAAAAGGGGTCAGGGCTCTTCTATGCAGAAGTGTGGACTTCACCGTGCTCAGCGTGGAAAGAGCTGGCCGCGCAGCGCTCGACACGTTAAGAGCTTTGGTCCAGAGCGTGCGGCTCCGTGGTGGAGGACTTGCCTCGCATGCACGGGATCCTGCGTTCTTTCCCTAGCGCTACAGAGAGAAAAACAAAAGCGGAAAAGTCAGTTTGGGTTGGGGCTGAGGTGTACCTTGGGGTTAGACCACGTGGCCTGTTATATACCCAGCAGATTTTTCCTTTGTACCAGGAATCGAACTCAGGACCTTGTGCTTGCCAGGCAGGCACTTACGCTGCTGAGCTATATCCCTGACCCAATTTCTTTTCCTCTTTTCTTTTTTTTTCTTTTTTTTCTGTATCAGGAATCAAACTTGACCTTGCACTTGCCAGGCAGGCACTTGTGCTGCTGAGCTACATCCCCAGCCCTACCCAGCAGATTTTTAATGTGTAAAACATTTTTATTGGTTTTTGGTTTTTGTTTATTTGTTTTGATATGGAGGCTGAACCCAGGGCCTTTGTACTGAACTATGTCCCCAGCTCTCTTCTTTACCTTTAGTTTGAGACAGGGTCTCTCTAAGTTGCTAAATTGCCCAGGCAGAGCTCAGACTTCTGATCTCCTGTCTCAGCCTCCCACAGTAGTAAAATTACAGGTGGGGGCCACCGTGCCTGGCTTTGTGTAAAAGTCTTCAGGCGGAGTTGGACTGAAGAGCTTAAAGAAAAGGTAAGTCTGGCTGGAAGTAGCAGTGATTCATTCAAGTGTGTCCAGACCTAGCCTGTCTGTAGAAAGCTTGTTTAGGCCTTTTAGCATCTCATCCAGTAGGAAATTTTTATGCCAGAGATAACAGCTTCAGTGTAAGGTATGTTGGGTACAGTTCTGTATTCATGATGACAGCGTAAGGGGGCTCCCGTGGATCCACTCCCTAATTAAATAAGCAAAGCTACGGAAAACTACTTTAAAAGCAACCATTTAAAGTTTCAGAGCTGGACATGGTGGCACATGCCTGTAACCCCAGCACTCAGGAGGCTGAGCCAGAAAGATTGCCGGGAGTTCGAGGCCAGCCTGTGCTACATAGCGAGACTCTGTCTCAAAGAAACCAAAAAAAATTTCTGGAAATTGTCCTACATGAAATAAAGAAATATTTATTAAGTTGGATAAGTAATAGCAAGAGCATGTGGCATTTGAGCCACAACCCATTTATTCTGTCCTCCCTTCAGCTTGACAAAAACCCCCCTCAGAATGAGTGTAAGCCGGGCATGATGGTACAGCCTCTGGCCCAGAAGTCTGAGAAGCTGAGGCAGGCTAATCCCACATTCAGGCCTAGCCAGGCAACTGAGCAACTTGGTGAAACGCTGTCTCAGAATAAAAATAAAGGGCTTGGAATGTCGTTCAGTGCAAAGAACCCGGCTTCAGTCCCCGTTACCCGCGCACATACACGATGAATGTGGCCAAGAAGACACGGCTTTCTCTGCCTCGGCTCCCGGTCAGTGTCTGTCATACCTCAGTGGGGGACAGGCTGCTGACATGTCTCACCCTCCACCTGCAAGCTGAAGCACCTGAGTTTCTGGGGAGCGCAGTGGTGAGGCAGAGGCTCTTTTCCTCTGCCAAGCCCTTGCTCATAGGATGGAGCCTTTACCCTGTTTGCCGCAGAACACCGAGACCCAGGTCGGCCTCACCTCAGCTCACTCCTAGTGCGGAGCTTCCACCTCCAGGAAGACCGGGAAACGGAAAGCCTGGAGGCGAACGCCCTACCTAGAACTCGGTGTCCTTTTCCCAGGGGCAGAGCAGCCCATGAGAAGAGCTCCAGAGCACTCCCCAGATGAACTGTTTTGAAATTGTGCAGGGGAGTTTAGGCCCCAGGACCCTTTAGAAAATAATAATAGCACCTCTTCAGGGGAAAGAGCATGAAGGGTGAGCAGGAGGGAAAGGGGAAATAAGTAGAATAAAGGCACGCCACGTACAGGAACCTAATGACCTCGATGTGAACGTTAAATGCCATCACATGAGCTAAGATGAATCATACCAACAAGAATGAAAGGGAAATAGGGGCATTGGAGAGGAGGGGAGGAGGGAAGGGAAGGAAAAGGGGATTAAAAAGGAAACAAGCTGTGATATGTACATGTACCCGCTCCCCAGGGTGGTTGTAAACTCCATCAGCTGCAGACGTGTACCAGCAGAATGAAGTAATTTAAAAAGAAAATGGCAGCACCTCTTAATAAAGAGTGATCAGCCAAAGCAAAGGCGAGCACCTTCACTAGGGAGCACAGGGAGACAGGTAGCGAAGAGGCTCTCTCCTGGGTTGGGACAAGGCCTGTCCTTGTCCAAATTTGAGTGGGTCCAGCCACTGAGTAGTCTTTATTCCAGGGTACTGCTGGAAACAGTAGAGCTAGCAGTTAGTGAGCGTCGTCCCAAATGAAGCACGTTTCGCAGAGCAGTAATGTAACTCAAGTTCTTACGCCGGGTAGTTCCCAGAGCACTAATAGACAGAATATATAGAGAACCCCACACACACAAAGTAAAAGACCCAGCAGGAAAAGTGGGTAAGTGAAATGAATGGACATTCTCAGAAGGACAGATGGCCAGTAATACGTGAAGAGATGTTCAGTGTCACTGGCTGTTAGGGAAACGGAAATTCAAACAGCTCCGTCTTGCCCTGGAGAGAATGTCTGTCATCAAGAAATCAGGTAATAGCAAATGCCGGCAAGGCTGTGGGGGAAGAAGAACGCTTCTCCGTCACTGGTTAGAATGTAAACTGGTAAAACCACAATGGAAATCAGCACGGAGATAAACCGGAGTCATTGGTAGGAAAACCTGCACCCTCAGACCGTAAAGTTCCATGAAATAAATCAGCACACAAGCGGAAGTATCGCCTGCTCCTCTTACACGAGAAACCCGAAGTAAATAAAGACTAACATGAAAGACAGACAGTAGGAGGTAGGGAGATGATCTTTCTCAAGTGGGACAGGGGTCAAGAGACCGAGGGAGGGAAAGGGGATGAAACAAGAATTAAAATGCACCACCAGGCGGGGTGGCGCCCACCTGTGATCCCAGCACTCGGGAGGCTGAGGCTGGAGGGTCACTGAGCTCGAGGCCAGCCCGGGCTACGTAGTGAGTTCAAGGCCAGCCTGAACTGCACAGCGAGACCCTGTCTCAAAAACAAAGGGGGTGTACATGTACCAACTCCCCAGAAAGAATATAATCATTATGTACTGTGAACATGAACTGTGGTAATAAAAAATAGAAACAAAAAATGCTGCTAAAACCAGTCAGCTCAGGACGTGTGTACATTCCCAAGGCTAGGCTGTCAGAGTGACACCATCAACCTCGTGCCACGGGGGAAAGGGCCTTCACTAAGGTGGTTTAGCCAAATTATAAAACAAGTGAGCTGACCACAGCGAAGACAATCTCCAGAGCTGCTGTATTAGCTAAAGTGTCTTCCAGGCGGGAAGGGTGAGATGTGCGAAGAGACGGAAAAAGCAGGCAACAGAAACTGCCTGTGAGAGCAAACAGACGTCAGATTTAACAAGGACTTTAGTACACACTCTCTACGTATGCTCGGGGAACTGCGTGAAAGGCAAAGGAAGATTTGAAGGTAGCGTCTCATCAAGTAGAGAATATAAAAAAAGAGATAGGAGTTTTATTTTTAAAAAACTAAATAGAAACCCTGGGATTGAGAAGTACATAACTAAAATGAAAAATGTGTTCAAGGAGTTCAGCAGTTTTCATCTGGTAGAAGAAATGATTAGTGAATGTGAAGATAGGCTGATACAAAATATATATACCCAAAGACAGAGAAAATAAGTAGAGCCTCAGAAACACATGGCACACTTTTTTGGTTTTGTTTTGTTTTTTGAAATAGTGTCTCATTATGTAATTCAAACTGGCCTTAAACTCACTATGTAGCCCAGGCTGGCATCGAACTTGCGATCCTCCTGCCTCAGCCTCCCAAGTGCTGGGATTACAGGCCTGTGCCACCACACCGGGCAAAGAATTCCTTTAAGCACATTAACATACTGAAATGGGAATAAAGGAAGGAGAGTTGGAAGGAAGAGAAAAACATTTGAAGATAAACGGATTAAGGAATCAAATGTATTGAAAGCATATGTCCAGAAGAAGGTCACTGAATTTCAGGTAGGATCAACACAAAGAAATCCACACCCAGACATGTAATAATAATATTGAAAGCCAAAAATAAGGAGAAAATCTTGCAAGCAGCAAGAGAAAAATGACTCATAACATATCCAAGGGCATCCCATAAGATTGACAGTGGGTTTCTTGTCACAAACAGTGGAGAGCACATCACAAGGAGAAAGCAGTAGGGTGATGTGTCAGTATTAGCGTTCACCAGAAGAGTGGGTTTAAAATGTATAGTTGGGCGTGGTGGTGCACATCTGTAATCCCTGCACTCTGGAGGCTGAGGCAGGAGGATCTCTGTGAGTTCAAGGCCAGACTGAACTACATAGCAAGATCCTGTCTCAAGAAAGTAAAAAAAAAAAACAAAAACAACCCACTAAGCAGGCTTACAATGGCTGCCTGTAGAATCAGGTGAAAGAATGCAGAATGGCCATCTGCACTCTGAAGCGCTCGAGGATCCAGCCAGAAGTCCAAGGCTTGAAGCTCCCTGGAGAGCAGTTGCGAGCCGAAGGTTCTGTGCTGGAGGGCTGAAGAGTTCGCTGGAAGCCGGGGGGAACTGGAGACAGAAGTCCAGAGGCGGTGGTGAGGCAGAGCTGTTCCCAGGGAGAAGCGAAAGGGGGACTTCTTTCCACTGTGATCCCGCCCGGGCTGCAGTCCTGTTGTGCCAGCCCCTCTAGGGCAGTCCCCGTCCTCAGTTCCCACCTCCCCAGTTTCCCCCTCAGTTTCCGGCCTGCCCTTCAGTCATCCAGACACCCGGCACTGTGGCCCATTAATCCGCCAGGCATTTCTTGATCCATTCCAGTTGGCATCACAGTGAACTATCACAGATGCAAATTCAAAGTGCTGAAAAAACTGCCACCAAGAATCTCAGCCGGGAAAACTGTCTTTCAGAAATGAACAGAAAAACAGTTAATTGCTGGCAAGCAGATATGCCGGACAATAAATACTGAAAGAAGCTCTGTGGGCTGAAAACTAGTAACCTTGGAAATTCACATGCATGTAAGGAATACTACTAAAGGAAACTAATTATAAAAGACTATACAAGACTGGCGTGGTGGCACACGCCTGTAATCCCAGCACTCAGGGAGGCTAAGGCAGGAGGATTGTTGCAAGTTCGAGACCAGCCTGGGCTACAAAGTGAGCGCAAGGCCAGCCTGAACTGCATAATGAGACCCTATCTCAAAAAGACAAAAAAAAAAAAGAAAGAAAAAGACTGTATAAATGCATGTTTCTTTCTCCTAATCCATGTTAAAAGCAACTATATAAAATAGTACGTATGTAATTATATTGTTGGGCCTATAATGTACAGATAGATTTAATGATGACAGCACAAAGGAAATGGGGGCACTCAAAGTCATTGGAATAAGGAAATTACACCAAATGGTTACTGAAACCCACAGGATCAAATGGGGAAAAACACAAGTGGTAAATTAGATCAGTATAACAAGCTATATATATATCCTCATTTTCTTTAGTAGACATAATGTTATATAAAATTATACCAATGTAGTGTTTGGTTTGTAATACTGTATAGGTAGGTGACAGATAGACAGACAGATAGATAGAAATAACAGAGGAGCACAGCTTCTTCACTGATTTAAATCCAAAATCCATTCTGATAACATGATCTTAGCCTCAAGGCAGCCATTGAGAAAATAGCTCCAAAAGATGTGAAAAATATCATTAAAGGGGCATAAACATGTTACTCTGTAGAAAATACTGGCTTAATACAAAAGAAAGCAGTAGAAGAGAATTAGATTAACAAAAAAAGACAAGCTGTGGGAAATGAGAGGTGGCAGACGCAGATCCAGCTGTGTCAGCAGTGACACTGAATGTGACTGGTTTAAATGAAAGGTATGTTTCAGACTGGATGGAAGAGCTGGGTGCAGTGGCACACACTTGTAACCCCAGCTATTTGGAGGCTAAGGCAAGAGGATTGCAAGTTTGAGGCCAGCCTGAACAATTTAGCAAAATCCTTTCTCAGAATAAAGTTAAAAATAAAACCAACTACATGCTATCATCAGGAGAGACTTTAGAATCCAAGGTACAATGAGTCTGAAAGTTAAAGGATGGGAAGAGTATGCCATTTACACAGTAACCGTGAGAAGGAGACTCTGGGTTGTTCCCAAGATGTCCTTGAAGGAGGACTTGTCTCAGATCTACTTTACTTTTGTTTTTTCTTCCGGTACCAGGAATCAAACTCATGACCTTGCGCTTGCCAGGCGGGCACTGTGGCGCTGAGCTAAATCCCCAGCCCCCTCAGATCTACTTTAATACCGTGAATGTGGGCTGCCCATTGCCAGTCATAGAGCTGATTCTCCAGATACTTGCAGAGTAATGTCATCCATAACATAGTTTTAAGAAGATCTCAGGCTGGGCAGGTGTGGTGGCGCATGCCGGTAATCCCAGCACTCAGGAGGCTGAGGCAGGAGGATCATTGCAAGTTTGACACCAGCCTGGGCTGCAAAGTGAGTTCAAGGCCAGCCTGAACTGCATAGCAAGACCCTGTCTCAAAAAGACAAAAAAAAAAAAAAAGATCTCAGGCTAATCTGGAGCCTAAGAAAAGTCAGAAGATGCACTCTTTGACCTAGTGAAGCAGCATGCCCATTAGAGCATAGGGAAGGTGGGGAAAGAAGCACTGATTCCATGCTGCCCTGAATGCTGATGCTGGAGTTGCAGGGTGTAGAGGCGGCAGACCAGCGTGGCTGGCGAACCGGGGAGGACGAAAACAAGTAGTTACAGTTCTCATTCCCGCTCTTCTCTTTTCTGTTGAAGATTTCATTCACACCTGTGAGAAGCTCTGCCACGAAGGAGACTGTGGACCGTGCTCTCGAACGTCAGTTATCTCCTGCAGGTGCTCTTTCAGAACAAAGGTAGGTCCTGAGCGAAGCTAGAATCGTTTCCGTCAGTGCCTTTAAAGTGGTGATTATGGGAAGGGAGGAAACAAACAATGTTTTATTCCTCTCACACTGTATGTGATTCATTGAATCCGCCCAGTGTATACTGACCCCAAAGCTACTATAAGCTAATCGTAGGATAGATACGGGGATTTCAGAACTCAGGGCTCAGAAATCGATAGTGGGGTTAAGGCAGGGGTACTAATAGCTCTGTTAAATATAAACGTGAAAAGAGCAACAGTAGCCCTATTGCAAGGAGCTAGCCAACTAAGAAGTTAAAACAGACATAGTCCACAAGACCGGCTGCAGTTCTGACACCCACTGCAAGAGATTAGACTGCTAAGTTAGAACAGCCCACGTGACTGCCCATTTTGATACCAACTTCGACACCAGCTGCAGAGTCATTGGTCCTAAACACCACCCACCCTCAAGGCTTAATAATTCAGCAGAGGAGCTCACTGAAAGCGGTTATATTCATGGCTGCAGTTTTATCATGAGGAAAGGATACAGATTAAAATCACCCATGGGAAGAAGCATGTAAGACAGTCTGGGAAAAGTACCAAGCGCAGACCTTCAGTCTTCCTCTCCCTGTGGAATCAGGACAGCGTTACTTTCTTGTGCCCGTATGTGACAGTGCGCCTGTTTACTTTCTCACTGTCAGTGTCTGCTTGGAATGTTGCCAACCAGGGAAGTTCAGCCCAAGTCTCTGTCCTGTTTATGGGTCTCCGGCATGTGACTGATCTCAGTCTCCAGTTTCTCCAAGGGTCTGCTGATACTACGTGAGACTTGAAGCCCTCACCCTACGATTACCCAGTGTGGCCACTGCTCTGAAATTGCATTAAACTACCCTGTGGCCCATGGCCATAAGCAAATAACCATACCCCTGGCAGGCGTGACTTTCCACTAGCCTTCGGGATTACCTCTCAGAAGCCGAGTACAAAAGCCAGCCTCCCTTTGGGAAACTGTTTTCTGCCCTGGATAGTGCTGGTTGGACTTTGTGTTATAAAAGGGTATCTTACCGTTTTGGGTGAGGCCGTGTATCCAGTGCCTAAGCACCGGGTAGCCAGAAGGGCAGGGAGCCTTCCTGTGGAAGTCTTTGGGTGGAACATACTAAGTGATGAGTTGTTCTGCTCTTGAACTATTTCCAGTCATTTGAGTGCATATCGGCCCTCGTCCCAATAGAACATAGGTGAGGGTAGGGACAGAATTCTAAACAATTGGTTCTGTTCGTTAAAAACAGTGAAGGCGGCCAACAGTAGGCTTGCAAATGATTCTAAAGGTATAGTCTGTGAATTGGGAGCTAACTTACTAGGTAAGATTCAGGATAGCAGCAAAAAAGAAAGGTAAAAATAGTACAGTTTATTACATTAAAAGTTATGTAAGCATTTGTCAAGGTTGGTTTTTTTCTGCCCAAAGTAATCAGTGTAAATGAGTAGAAATTTTGAATGTCAGTTATAGGACCACTTTTTACTTCATAAATCCCAGTTAACTCATCCCTGCTGGCTTGAAGCCCCGGTGGTACTTGCTTGACTGTCCCATTGGGTGGCTTGTACGCTGTTGCTACACATGGATCTAATCACTTTCACTGCTCTTTTTACTAATAAAATGAAGAAAAAGCTTTCCGAGGAGCAGGGGCACATGTACCGGGGTGGTTAAGCCACCCAGCAGTGAGATGTGCAAATTGCAAACATGTTAATGACTGCGGAGAGCCTGGGGGTGCCGCTCAGTGCAGAGCAGGTGCTTAGTGTGCGTGAGGCTGTGGGTCTGGTTTCCAGGACCAAAACACAAGCTGTGAGATTTAGTAATCATCAGTTCAGTTGTCGCCCAGAGCTGCTGCTTGTGACTCCTGTGAGCAAGGTTGGGACCTGGAGCTGCTCTCCTGCTTCTTACTCACTGTTTTCTCGTGCCCCACTAGGGGGCCTCATGGCAGTAGGTGTTTCTGTGAATTCCATTTCTGCGCACAAGTCTTTTCTATAATTGCTGAAGGTTCTTAATATAAATGCAAACTCTGTTAAACCTTTTTTGACAAGCTGATAATCATTATTGGGCGTGGTGGTGCATGCCTGTAGTCCCAGCACTTGGGAGGCTGAAGCAGGAGGATTACTGCAAGTTCAAGGCCAGCCTGAACTACATAGTGAGACCCTGTCTCATAAAAACGGTGATAAATAGTCATCACCTCCCTGTTCAACCGAATTTTACATGAACGTGGATTTTTTTCATGAAATGCTTTTAGAAGTGGAATGAGTTTTCTCATTGAAGTGAGTTTTCTGATAAATAAAACTTGTTCCTTAAAGTTTCAAAGATTGTTCTTGTCACTTTGGCAGTGAGTCCTTGAGAAATACATGCTTTCACTTACTACCTCTTCATAAAGAGGGTGTATTTAAGTTTTTATTGGCAGTTCATTTCAGGGTGTTTAGGGAACCCTGCCTTACCCATGTTTCGGGATATCACCCAGCCTAGGACTTCTCTGTGCAGTCCAGCCTTTACATTGCTTTATATGTCTAAAGAGCACGTAGGGAGCTTTTTCCTATCATCTGTCTCAACATACTTTTTTTTTTT